GTATTGCATTCACACACTCAAAATGGCATGTTTACTGCCAAGGAAACAGGAATTACAGGAATTCATCTAATCTCTTTGTTTTTCCACATTTGTTTTCATAGTGATGGAGATGAGGATGAAATGGCTTCACCATTGCCTACTTTCACCCAGCCCACACCTGCCACACCCTCACATTCCTCAACTTCTAGAAAGAGATCTGCACCAGTATTGGCCACTCAGCCTGCATCCAAAAAGCACTCACTTCCAAAGCTACCATCGTCTGGTTTCTACCAGCTTTCTGCAGCGTCAGATGCATCTGTAAACCAAAGGAAGCGTGGCCGAGGTGGGGCTCCCGCTCCTCAGCCAGGAAAAGGAAAAGCATCAGATAAATGTGTAAAACGCAGCCTTCTCCACAAAACGATGAAATGGTACAAGACTTTTTTTTACCATTTGTGGACATTGCCGTGATGAACAGCTTCATTCTCCACAAGGAGCTGCACAAGATGACGAGTGACCCCAACGGGACAAAGCCACACACACAGAAGACTTTCAGGGAGCAGCTTGCTTCTGAAATGTTGGAATTTGGAACACCTCCACCCACGATCCCCCCCCCGGCCCCCCACCACCACCATGCGGGCCCAAGTTTTATGGGAAAGATGTCAGTATCAGGAAGAACTGCAGGAACTGCCATGATGCTGGCAAAAAGAAGGTGAAGACAGCTGTGTACTGCAGGAAGTGTGAGGTCCCTCTGTGCTTCACTTCCAAAAAAAAATGTTACGAGGAGTGGCATGCCTAAGTTGTAACATTGTAAAGTTTTAAATAAATCTGCTCCAATTGGAGTCAAACTTCATTTTGCATGTTTTTGTTTTTTAATTGGTTTTTTTACAACAGTTGTATTTGGATGGAATGAATACCTATAGTGATAATTCAAAGTAATAAAATGATTTTTACAGTGAAAATGGAACTGATGGTTCCCAAATTACCCAGAGGTGAGTCCGCCTGGACTTTATTTTTCTAAACCTCTCTAAAAGGTCAAATGTCACTTGTTTTGCATCAATCTTGATACAGGGTACGTATTATGTTATAGTTTGGATTCCTAAAGCTTTTAGTCTACTAACCCATCATTCAAGGGTGGTTTTCACTATAAGTAATGGGGTTTTTTTTTAGGCGGAGATAGAATTTACATGTTTTTACTATGTTCCATATGAATTTATTTTAAAATAAAAACATCTATATTGATTCTGACACTTCTACATCCAACTCACAGATGTAACCTTGCTTTGAGAAAACATATTATTAATTTACCCCTTTTAGAAATGAAGATATAGTCTTTGTTGTGTTAGTGGCATTTTCGAGCCTGAAACCTGAAAAACAGGCTTAGGGCTTAACAGGTTAAATGTGGGGTAGGTAAATCCATCCAGTTATTTTAGCCGGTCCGGCTAAAATGATTGGTCGTACTTTTTACAGTACTACGGCTTCCACAGATGACATTTTTTTTAATGGATTTTTTGTCAAAGCACTTAAGATATTCATTGCTATCGGGATGTTAAGAGCATTCCATGGAATATAACAAAAAGTGTATCTCGAGCCGGTTTCTCAAACTTACCTACCCCACCTTTAATAGCATCAAACATATTGTCCTGCCCTTCTTTAAAACTGCAGAATATGACTAGTAGGGGAAGTTTGCAGGATTAAAAGTAAGATGAGAGTAGTCTTTAAAGTTAAGTGGTTTTAAGACTGATTTGATAAAGATTACGATTCAAGAGATGCTTGAAAAACAAACCTGTTGCTGCTTTTTACTCAAGCTCCACCAGGTGGTGCTACTTCACAGCTACTATGATAGAGACACCTCCAAGCTGTCAAAAGGCTCTGACTAGATCAACCACTGCTGCGTAATGAAGTTTAAGACAATTAACATTCCCAATATCTTACATTAGCAAAAACTTCAGACCAACTACTTCTATAAGGATTTCAGTGGTGTTTCTCCTACCTAATTGCTATTTATTAAAAAGTAATAGCTTGCCATTCTTCAGAAAATGTCAGAACATATCTCCACAGGGCCTTAAAAAAAAGTTTAAAGCTGATTTTATCTTACAGTATGTCCATTTATAATAAAGTAAGTCTAAAAAATCATGAAATAGTATGTCGAAAAATATTATAGTATGTAAAAATAAATATATAGTAGTTCAAAAAAACGTCATACTAAGTTATAGTGTACTGAAAAAGTCTTAAAAACATGAACAAATATATAATTATGTAGGTCGAACATTTGGAAAAACAGTTATAATATAGTATGTCTGAAAAGTGTCATAGTATAGAATAACCTTTTAATACATTATTTTGATCAGGGTTTCAGTATTCCTGCATATATCCTGTAACACTAAAATAAATGTTCCTGTATTGACTTCTGGGATGCACAAGAGGGCGCTATATGACTACAAGAAGAAAGAAGTACCTGTCAGATGGATCACAGTTCAAAAGTCGACTATTTGCTCCTTTTCGTGATTCCTTTGAGGCTCCTGGAGGAATTAAATGGAAAAACATGAAATAACAGACCAGCTTCATTGTGCATTCCTCATTTATTATCATGGTCCTCTTTACATTAGGTGAGGATGGTTGGAGGTCAGTCCACTATAAACCTTGTTGTGGCCGCCTAAAGTGGAATGTTCAGAAGATTAAAGCCTATCAGCGTGCTCATTTAAAAGTTACACACTATGTTTTTATAATATGATCAACCTGCTCTTACCTTGTGATGAAAACAAGATCACACCTCTGTTTGTTCAGCGTGGTTTGTACAATGCTTTGAAGACATTCTCGTTCAAAATGACAGTGGCAGTGATAACACATGAAAGTAGAATTGTTGTAGATATGTTAAATAACCTAAGAAATAGATATAGAATATGTTGTGTGTGTCATAGGTGTGAAACGAAAATAGGTTGCTTTCCAGGAACAACCTACTGTACCAGAGCAGGTCAAGGTGTTTACAGGAAATAATATAAAGTTCTGTAGTTTTTGTCTGTAATGAGCATGAAAACAGGCATTAGTTTGAACGACATGTAAACACACATTGTAACCGACTAAACCACGTTTTCAATCTTGTGCCATCCCACATAAGGACAGTGATCAAAAAGCTAATTTGCCTACTCCACCTGTTTGAACATCAATGTGTGGAATGAGCAGAAGTTCAGCTCGAGAGTGCGGATATGTATACTTCGTCACTCTCTTTCCCTTATATCATCCTAGGGAATGACGTGAGATAAAACAGCTAGCTACAGCATTAATCTAAGTCTCATTTGCATTCCATGTTTATATCACTGAAAGTAAAGCCTCTCCAGCCACCATATAGCAACATGTGTGTAGATAGTACAGAAAAACAAAGAGTGACAACAAAGCCTGGCGTGGTGCAGGCTTTTGAGTAGAAAGCTCCTAAGAAGATTGTTTTTTCCTCTACACTGTGACAGCACTGTCCTGGTGTCAGGTCTGGTGACTTATTGCATGCTGTCAGTCCTCTTCAACAGATCTGAGGTGAGTTTCAAACATGGTGGCAGTCTGGGCTCGTTTTGGCGCCATCATCCGCCTCCCAAAGCCACACCCAAACACCCCAGGGTCTTTTTCCAGCTGCTCCCCAGGGGCAAGCAGCTCTTCTGGGTACGGTTCCTCCTACTCTTCATCCAAGCCTGGTCAGGACGACTGCATGAGGCCCGTCAGCCGTTTGCCCGTCAGCGACTTGCCCTGATGGGAGGCAGAGAGATAAAGGGAGGGAGGGGGACAGCTGTCACCTTAAGAGCAGTGTGGGAGGAAAAGTTAAAGAAAAGAAAGACTGCAGAAATGTATCAAAGCTTTGGTGCTGGGTGGTAAGTGGACAACATATGATGTACCACAAGTACATCATAATGATACCACACGAAAATGCCTCGGTGGAGCAGTCATGAAAAAGTTAAAGAATTAAAAAAGGCATTGTGGTACTATGTGGAAAATCTGAAAAAGTAATAATATAGGATGTTGAAAAAATATAATATAATGAACATTTTGAAAAACGTCATAGTATAGCATGTTAAAAGATATCATGAAAAAGTCATTGTATAGTACGTAGAAAAAACGTCATAGTATAGCATGTTGAGACATTTGAAAAAAAATTCATAGTATACTACGTCACAAAAAATCATGATAAATGTCATGAACTAGTTTGTCTGAAATGGTTAGGTCAATCAGTCATGGTGTAGCATGTCTTAAAATTGTCTTAAAAAAGTCATAGTATAGCATGTCGAAAAATGTGTAAAACGTCATAGTACAGTTTGTTACAAAATATCATGAAAAGGTCAATAGTATGTAAAGAAATTGAAAAGAAAGTCATTGTATAGCAAAAAACAGAAATGCTATAATATGTCAATCTGCTGACTTTTGAAAAAAACAACTCTTTGTAATTGAATGAAGGCAGTTGAAGAGTTATAAGCAGAGGGACACTCACCACACTGCGAGTGAACTTCTCCAGAGAGGTGCGTCGGCCCTGCTCCGTTTCAGGCTGAGAGTCCAAGAGAAAAATCACAAGAGGAACAGTTCAACAATTCAGTGTTTAAATAGCGTATGAATCTCACACACTTGAGCAGATTTGTTCACATTATTACAGATTAAGAGAGGACATGTTTCTTTTATTTTGTGTATTCTCGTCTGCCTGTAAAAACATGGGTTAGTATTTTGAGCAACGTTCATGTAGGGACAAACCAAGTCAATAAATAACGTAAAAAAAAAGACCTCTCATTCCTGCCTCCTTACAAAGCGACCTGCCTGGTATATGACCTCACTTCCTGCCGTGTGTAATCACACATTGAGTATATCAGTGATGTGCAGAGAGATTGACCTGTGGGACAAACACAGACAGACATGCTTACTTTCTTCTTTGCCATCAGCAGGTCCTGGTACACGTTGGAGCGCAGGAAGCATGTGTAGCTGTCACTTTTCATCAGTTTGTAGATGTGGTCCGAAATGGAAAGAGAAGAGGCAGGAAGAGAAAGAGACACGTGGGTTACATGCTTCCCAGGGCTTCTGTAAATCATTCTGAAACAGTGTCGTGCAAAATGTAAGGAGACAGTCACTAAGGGAGGAACGTGATGTGGCAAATTAGGAACTCACTGACAGGAATGTATTCAACTGATTACTTTGTCTCTCTGCTAGGCCGCGCTGAGGCTGTCATTGAGGACTTTAAATTGGACATGGCCACGCCTTCCTCCAGTCACATGGTGGGAAGATGCTTTGTTGCTACGGAGACGGGCACCTACTTTGAAGGCACTGGCTTCCTGAAAGCAGGTGAGAGGAGACACTGAGACGTCGCTTGCAAACTTGTTCCTCAGCAAAAATCTGATTCTACTTTTTCTCAGGTAAAATGTAATGTTCTTGTTATGAAAGGTGAACATTAATGCATCCTTCCCTCTCTCTAGTCTCTTCCTACAGAGTGGGTCTGGATGTGTCGATAGCCTTAGAGTTCAGGACCAGCAGAACCACTGGGGTGCTTTTGGGCATCAGTAACCAAGCCAACGATGGACTGGGACTAGAGATTGTCGAGGGCAAGGTACGTAACATTGACGAAAGGAATCCAACATTTGGGGAAATTGTTATTCAATTTCCACTAGAAATTGAGAAGAAAAAGCGACTGTTAAATAATAGATCAAAAGAACTGGAAACAGCTGTCCTGTCCAACCTATCATACAAGAAGTATTACTTTCTCATCTCAATCTTAACCAGAAAACAAATAAGTGTGAAGGGTGAATTTTTCCTTTAATCTACTTTAGAAGTAATGACTGAGCTTGTCCTAGCAATAGCTTGGTACAATATATGTTTTTTTAAATTGTTTAAAGTATCACTGAACAAAACATGTACTTAGATACATATGCATAACATCTCAAAAATATCGTTTAAAACAAGCATTTCTTCCCCTTCCTGTCACCAGCTGCTCTTCCACGTTGACAACGGAGCTGGACGAATCACAGCGGAGCACGTGCCTGAGGGCGAGGGCTTCTGCGACGGCCAGTGGCACTCGGTCACTGCCAAGAAGCTGCGGCACCGCGTGGAGCTGGTGGTGGACGAGAAGCAGAGCCAATCAGAGAGCCCCAACGCTCGCTCCAACACGTGTGACACAAACGACCCCATCTACGTCGGAGGATATCCAGGTACGACTGCTTTCTAACTCACATACTCAGTATTATACCTTAGTATACATTGAAAACACATTAGTATTAGTACATTTTGTGGATCAAAGAGCAACTTTAAAGGTCACCTATCATGCAAAATCCACTTTTTCATGTCTTTTCTACATCAACATGTGTCCCCTCTGTGTAAAGAGATTCTGAAAGTTTCAGGAAAAAAGATTCTCTCACTTTTTGTCCTGATCCATTTATATAAAAACCTGTCTGAAAATGAGCTGATCAGATTTTGGCCACTTTATGATGTCATAACGATTGTTTGGCTTGAGTAATCATTAGCCAATCACCAACCAAGGTAACACCCCCCCCACCTTATCACCTGAATCTCCTCCTAGAGCACCATTGTGTTCTTTGTAACCAAATATCTCTCAGAGGGGCGTGGGGAGGGGCTCTTTATTTTCATCTAAAGCAGGGGTGTCAAACTCAAGGCCCGGGGGCCAAATCCGGCCCGCGACCTCATTTTATGTGGCCCGCAAGAGCTTGCAAAGAATATAATATACAATACAATTGGTGTAATTGTTGAATATTTGCTTTCAATTATTTGCCCTAGAGTTCTGCTTTCAGACGTACTTATTTAGGAAGATATTACCAGAACTGATAATAATCCAATCCAGGGCCAACAATGTAATATAATACATTATTTAATATATATTATATATTTACATATATTTATATATAATACAAATTACAACCGGCCCTTTGAGTGCAACCATAATGCTGATGTGGCCCGGGATGAAATTGAGTTTGACACCCCTGATCTAAAGTAACAGACAGAGAATCAGCACTTTTGAAACAGGGCTGAAACAGAGGGGATTATGGGTAATGCTGCAATGATCTGTTTGGTATTCGGAGCCAAACACTTCAGCGACATGTTTGTATATATCTGAGACCTATAATATATTGATGAAAAACAGTATAATAGGGGACCTTTAAATACAAATATGTGAGAGGTCCTGTTTTTCTTTCTCTCTCAGGTGGAGTTCGGCAGGCGGCTCTCTCCACCAGCACTTCCTTCAGAGGTTGTATGAGGAACCTGAAGATCACCAAAGCTTCTAAGACCATGGAGGTGCAGTTCAACAAGGCTCTGGAGATTAAAGGAGTGCAGCCTCTCTCCTGTCCCGCTGCAGCTGCATAACTGCTACCTTAGAGCTTCCCCTTTGTTGTCCACTCAACAGAGCACTCCTACAAGGGGCTACACATGTTCAAATCTTGCCACTCTTCTCATTTCTTTGTTTGGTCTCCTCTATCGCCCTGCCTTTGTCCCAGAAATGTATCTCAGTGTACTTTTGAAGGAAGGATGTCTCGAGCAGAGTATGGATAGGTGTATTCTTTCATAATCCTTGACATAGAAAGTGGCGTGACAATGGACAGATTACAGTTACATTTAATTGACTAAAATGATTGCTCCAAAGCATAGATGTCTTATTTTTTGGTTGCCTCGACTCCTATCTCCTCATGTCTCTTCCTTGCTTCCTGTTGCTTCAGTAAGACACAAGAAAAGGATGCACAATCAGAGAAATGAGAACAGCCCTCAGCCTTTAAACCTGCACTTCACAATGTTTTTATTTCAGTGTGTAAAGCCCTCTTTGCAAGTTACCTGCTGCAGTTTTGAAGAAGGTAACAGACTTTTAACAACGTTTTAGCACCCTCCAAACGTTAACCCTTACATTTTCAGAGACCCTGACTTAATGTACATTGTAAGACTCTGGACAATAAATCTTATCATGGCTACACATTGAGGTCTCAGTGTTTTAACATGTGTTTCTTAATTAACTGTATACTTAGAGAAAGATAATAGTATTAAGACCTGTGCTCACAGTATTCAAGCTAATTATATTTGTGGTATGATTAGGAGAATATTAGATTTGTTTTAGTTAAAGTATATAATATATATATTTACCCTTGTAACATAGACTTTTCTGGAAAGGATGAAAAAAGTGTGTCCTTCATAAACCTTGTTCGCTGAGAATTTGTAAATGTTTTCAATCCACATTGTAAAGTCATTACCTTATCACTTACAAAACAATAGACAAAGTTGGACTTCTTGTCAACTTGCTTTTCAGATATCTTTAAATACCTTTGACATTCCATACTTAATCAATGACTTTAATAACTATAATGGAGAATTGTCAAACAAGCTGGATCTTGAAATGTTGAGGTACCCATTTGGAGGTACAAGGTTTTTGTAGGACACTAATGGCAGTGGATTTTCTGCATGGTGTGGCTGAATAATACTTCAGCAGCTGTTTCTGAAATATAACCTTCCTCTAAGCACGGCGATCCCCCCATTGGACCCCTCCCACTTTTTTTTTTTGAGACACTGTCTCAGGGCTTCTTAACATTTATGAAACTATTAATGTGTAGCACCAGATTAACGGTAAGAATCTCAGCTAACTGAAGATATGAACCATTTTTAGCTAAAAGAAACACAAGAGTAATACCAAGCCTTTGAATTTTGCGAAAAAAATGCTAACTAATGCTAACGGAGTTTTGCACAGCCCTCACTCTCAAAATGCCCTTATTACTTATCGTAACTGCACAAACAAGATATCCGATTAAAGCTGAGACTCCACATATTCCATACATGTAGTGTCATCACTGTATGACCCCGAATTTGCGGAGCTTTCAGCCAGAAAGGAGAAAGTAAACAACATCCGGTTTCAAAAATATTACAATAATTACATCTTACCTTTTTTGATTTGTGATCAAAAGTTGTGTTCAACGGAATAAAAACGCCGCTCAAGGTTAATCCAATGTGTCTGTGTCACGTAGAATGTTTTACTGATAATCCATCATCATATTTATGGCAATAAACTGGGTATAAAGTTTTGCAGTCAAGGCTTACTTTCAGATATGCTTCGTTTGCTTCTCTATTACGTCCGCAATGGTAATGTTTACGTGGATTTGGGAACTGCCCATCGGATTCTATTGGATCTAATGGTTAAGAAAAAGGTGTAAATCACTCAAATCGACCAATGGGTTCAATAGATATGGTCCTGCGTAAAGTATTTAAATGTGAATGCCAGCGGCACACCCATTACTCAGCAGACTCTACGCCGTTACTCAACAGGAATTGCAGCAGCAGGACCCAGAGCGCACAGAGCGGACAGCAGATAACGGAGCAGATTAAAAGATTGGCGTTTAGGACTTTTTCTATACTTTGACTTTTGTCAAATAATGGCTTGCAGGAAAGAGATGCTTACTACTTTACAGGCAATGAAAATGGTGACTAATGTTGACAGCGATGCAGATATGTTACCCGTTGATTCTGAGTCAGACGACGAGGATTTCCTGCAGCCAGAACGGAACCCGGATCGTTGTGACTCTGATGATGAAATTCCACCACGGGAAAGGTATGTAATCTCTCTGTTTTTATCTATTACTTATTTATTTGGTGTACGATTATTCATATAGTAAATAAAAGCGTCTGCTAAATGTAATGTACGCTCAAAATGGCATGTTTGGCAGGAAGAGGGATTATTTACAAAAATAGTGTTTCTTGTCTGTTACATTTACTAAAAGTATAGGCCAGTGTTCATCTATAGGCACTAAATGTATTGCATTCACACACTCAAAATGGCATGTTTGGCAGGAGTTAGAGGGATTATTTACAAAAATACCAAATAGTGTTTCTTGTCTGTTACATTTACTAAAAGTATAGGCCAGTGTTCATCTATAGTCACTAATGTATTGCATTCACACACTCAAAATGGCATGTTTACCGCCAAGGAAACAGGAATTACAGGAATTAATCTAATCTCTTTGTTTTTCCACATTTGTTTTCATAGTGATGGAGATGAGGATGAAATGGCTTCACCATTGCCTACTTTCACCCAGCCCACACCTGCCACACCCTCACATTCCTCAACTTCTAGAAAGAGATCTGCACCAGTATTGGCCACTCAGCCTGCATCCAAAAAGCACTCACTTCCAAAGCTACCATCGTCTGGTTTCTACCAGCTTTCTGCAGCGTCAGATGCATCTGTAAACCAAAGGAAGCGTGGCCGAGGTGGGGCTCCCGCTCCTCAGCCAGGAAAAGGAAAAGCATCAGATAAATGTGTAAAACGCAGCCTTCTCCACAAAACGATGAAATGGTACAAGACTTTTTTTTACCATTTTGTGGACATTGCCGTGATGAACAGCTTCATTCTCCACAAGGAGCTGCACAAGATGACGAGTGACCCCAGCGGGACAAAGCCACACACACAGAAGACTTTCAGGGAGCAGCTTGCTTCTGAAATGTTGGAATTTGGAACACCTCCACCCACGATCCCCCCCCGGCCCCCCACCACCACCATGCGGGCCCAAGTTTTATGGGAAAGATGTCAGTATCAGGAAGAACTGCAGGAACTGCCATGATGCTGGCAAAAAGAAGGTGAAGACAGCTGTGTACTGCAGGAAGTGTGAGGTCCCTCTGTGCTTCACTTCCAAAAAAAATTGTTACGAGGAGTGGCATGCCTAAGTTGTAACATTGTAAAGTTTTAAATAAATCTGCTCCAATTGGAGTCAAACTTCATTTTGCATGTTTTTGTTTTTTAATTGTTTTTTTTACAACAGTTGTATTTGGATGGAATGAATACCTATAGTGATAATTCAAAGTAATAAAATGATTTTTACAGTGAAAATGGAACTGATGGTTCCCAAATTACCCAGAGGTGAGTCCGCCTGGACTTTATTTTTCTAAACCTCTCTAAAAAGGTCAAATGTCACTTGTTTTGCATCAATCTTGATACAGGGTACTTATTATGTTATAGTTTGGATTCCTAAAGCTTTTAGTCTACTAACCCATCATTCAAGGGTGGTTTTCACTATAAGTAATGGGTTTTTTTTAGGCGGAGATAGAATTTACATGTTTTTACTATGTTCCATATGAATTTATTTTAAAATAAAAACATCTATATTGATTCTGACACTTCTACATCCAACTCACAGATGTAACCTTGCTTTGAGAAAAAATATTATTAATTTACCCCTTTTAGAAGTGAAGATATAGTCTTTGTTGTGTTAGTGGCATTTTCGAGCCTGAAACCTGAAAAACAGGCTTAGGGCTTAACAGGTTAAATGTGGGGTAGGTAAATCCATCCAGTTATTTTAGCCGGTCCGGCTAAAATGATTGGTCGTACTTTTTACAGTACTACGGCTTCCACAGATGACATTTTTTTTAATTGAGTTTTTGTCAAAGCACTTAAGATATTCATTGCTATCGGGATGTTAAGAGCATTCCATGGAATATAACACAAAGTGTATCTCGAGCCGGTTTCTCAAACTTACCTACCCCACCTTTAATAGCATCAAACATATTGTCCTGCCCTTCTTTAAAACTGCAGAATATGACTAGTAGGGGAAGTTTGCAGGATTAAAAGTAAGATGAGAGTAGTCTTTAAAGTTAAGTGGTTTTAAGACTGATTTGATAAAGATTACGATTCAAGAGATGCTTGAAAAACAAACCTGTTGCTGCTTTTTACTCAAGCTCCACCAGGTGGTGCTACTTCACAGCTACTATGATAGAGACAAGCTGTCAAAAGGCTCTGACTAGATCAACCACTGCTGCGTAATGAAGTTTAAGACAATTAACATTCCCAATATCTTACATTAGCAAAAACTTCAGACCAACTACTTCTATAAGGATTTCAGTGGTGTTTCTCCTACCTAATTGCTATTTATTAAAAAGTAATAGCTTGCCATTCTTCAGAAAATGTCAGAACATATCTCCACAGGGCCTTAAAAAAAAGTTTAAAGCTGATTTTATCTTACAGTATGTCCATTTATAATAAAGTAAGTCTAAAAAATCATGAAATAGTATGTCGAAAAATATTATAGTATGTAAAAATAAATATATAGTAGTTCAAAAAAACGTCATACTAAGTTATAGTGTACTGAAAAAGTCTTAAAAACATGAAGAAATATATAATTATGCAGGTCGAACATTTGGAAAAACAGTTATAATATAGTATGTCTGAAAAGTGTCATAGTATAGAATAACCTTTTAATACATTATTTTGATCAGGGTTTCAGTATTCCTGCATATATCCTGTAACACTAAAATAAATGTTCCTGTATTGACTTCTGGGATGCACAAGAGGGCGCTATATGACTACAAGAAGAGAGAAGTACCTGTCAGATGGATCACAGTTCAAAAGTCGACTATTTGCTCCTTTTCGTGATTCCTTTGAGGCTCCTGGAGGAATTAAATGGAAAAACATGAAATAACAGACCAGCTTCATTGTGCATTCCTCATTTATTATCATGGTCCTCTTTACATTAGGTGAGGATGGTTGGAGGTCAGTCCACTATAAACCTTGTTGTGGCCGCCTAAAGTGGAATGTTCAGAAGATTAAAGCCTATCAGCGTGCTCATTTAAAAGTTACACACTATGTTTTTATAATATGATCAACCTGCTCTTACCTTGTGATGAAAACAAGATCACACCTCTGTTTGTTCAGCGTGGTTTGTACAATGCTTTGAAGACATTCTCGTTCAAAATGACAGTGGCAGTGATAACACATGAAAGTAGAATTGTTGTAGATATGTTAAATAACCTAAGAAATAGATATAGAATATGTTGTGTGTGTCATAGGTGTGAAACGAAAATAGGTTGCTTTCCAGGAACAACCTACTGTACCAGAGCAGGTCAAGGTGTTTACAGGAAATAATATAAAGTTCTGTAGTTTTTGTCTGTAATGAGCATGAAAACAGGCATTAGTTTGAAGGACATGTAAACACACATTGTAACCGA